CGTACTATAGTATAAAAGAATGAATAAAAACCCTATAACCCGAGCACTTCCAAAAGGTGGACCTTTCTTCTTCAGGGGCAAACTGAAGAAGAAAGGTCCACCTTTCGAAAGTGCTCGGGTTATAGGGTTTTTATTCATTCTTTTATACTATAGTACGCATTTTATTTTTCACTTCAAACTGGATGCGAGTCTTCTTCTTCACTCTTATATAATCTTGTCAGAGGCCTACTCTCAGTAATATACTCATCTGTTTCTGAATGAGTTTCTGATGGAAGTTCTGAAGATAAAGCATCAATTTCAGGACCACTATCATCACTCTCAGAAATTCTGTTGAAAACGCCAGTGTGAAGATTTTCAATGGCTTTACGTACCTAGAGATGAAACACTTTTAGATTGGGTTTTACTACCAACTTAAGAATTTATAAATAAAAATAATAATAAAAAAGGAACAGTCTGTCTTAACAATTATTTTCCTTTAATCAGTTGCCAAAATACGAGGTGGTTCTAAAGTTAGTTCCCCAGAGATTTAGGTGTGGGGAATCTACTTTTGGATCACCCCATCTATTAGTAATATCTTACTTTTATTAGGTAGGTCGTGTTTAATAGGAAAGCGTCTGATAACAATAATACATAGATGTGATACTTTGTATTAAAATTCATTGCACCAATTGTATTCATATCTCTATATGAGTAAGCATGTGTGTAAATACAATATATACATCCATTTATATATACACACTGACTCATCATTTGTTTTCAATTATCAGTTGGTTCTCTGGATTTTGCCCAAATTCTTAATTTTGAGGTGATACATTAGAAGAAAGGCAACTCGTTAACACCACCCACTGTAACTCTTGGGCTACTCTTATCAAACCAACAAAAGGGATTTGATTGTTTCTTATAATACACTCACACCCACAAAATATTTTTTTTTTCATCAATGGAACATGAGCTGTCGGACCCAAAGGTAAAAAAAAAAAACAGTATGACAATGTTTCACCAGCTTAACCTTGCTTAACGGAGCATAGCAAGACAAACACAGACCTTAACTCACGACTGATTACAAATGTAAAAATTTAAATTGTGTTAGTTTGTTTACCAATTCATTAAAATGTCGTTCAGACATTTCTTCAATTTAAACTTGTAATGTATTTGTTTGATGCTTTCCAGCCTGGTATCTTGTGTTTTCTTACGAAAATCAAGGTCATCATTAAATTTTAAAACATTTTACCTGAAATTTCCCCCCTTAAATCACTTACAAAATAAAACTAACTGAAATGTTCAGATTTATAATTTTTGTAAATTTCATCAGTATTTGTTTTGGATGAACTGATAAAAAAGTGTCCAATCTGATAATCCTAATTTAGCTTTTGTCCAAATTGTAATTATTATTTATGAAAACAATTTTATTAAAAAATTAAACAAAGCTGCGTGTCTGTTGTTTTTGTATATTTTGTCATTTGGTTCTACCTTGAATAATTAGGAAAAATTGATTTTTTGAAAGTTGGTGGTATCAAAATCTGTACAATTCAACTAAATGCATTGTTTCCTTCATAACTTCAAAGCTTCTAAAGCTAAAACAAAATCATAAGTATGTTGTCTGAAGGCTCGGATTTTTTTCTTCCTTTTTTTTTTTTATCTATTTCTTTGTTGTAACTCGTTATTTAATGTTATAGAGGAAAGCATGGATTCTCATGGAAAGCCACACACTTTTCAACACTCAGCAGTTAGACACTATTTAAACTATGTAATTACAGCTGTATTTACTTGCAGGTATACTTAATGGAAGTTTTAGCCAATAAACACACTGCTTTGGATCAAGATAAACAATTAATCTACAAGTTAAAGTGAAAGTTGGTAAAAACATATTTGTACCTCTTTTAAAGCTACGATTCCTACAAGTCGACCAATAGCTGTAACATAGGCATGGTTTAATCCAAGCATGGAAAAAAGGGAGTGAACCTAGAAAAAAACAATCAAACTCCGTTGTTAAATAGTGTAAGCTTTGACTATGACAGATGAGTCTAAATGCAGAATTTATATTTTGATGAACAATAACATTTTACATTTAAAAAACAACAACTAAGTAAGATACACAGGTTTATTCACCAGTTTATGGTGAGCATATATCAAATATAAAAAATAAGTTTGTCCATCATATCATGATAAGTGAATAAACTATAAAACATAAAACTGTTCATCACTTCCCAAAGAACAAACACAAATATAAAACTGTTCATCACTTCCCAAAGAACAAACACAAATATAAAACATAAAACTGTTCATCACTTCCCAAAGAACAAACACAAATATAAAACATAAAACTGTTTATCACTTCCCAAAGAACAAACACAAATATAAAACATAAAACTGTTCATCACTTCCCAAAGAACAAACATAAATATAAAACATAAAACTCTTCATCACTACCCAAAAAACAAACAAATATAAAACATAAAACTGTTCATCACTTCCCAAAGAACAAATATAAATATAAAACATAAAACTGTTCATCACTTCCCAAAGAACAAATATAAATATAAAACATAAAACTGTTCATCACTACCCAAAAAACAAACATAAAACTGTTCATCACTTCCCAAAGAACAAATAAAAATATATAAAACATAAAACTGTTCATCACTTCCCAAAGAACAAACATAAATATAAAACAAAATTCTTCAAAAGTCCCAAGTGAAGACACATAAGCAAAAGATAAGATTGTTTATGACTTACAGTCTTGTATTAGAAATGTCATCAAATATGTCCAACTAAAGAAAATAATTACAATATTGTAATTTAATATACATAGTCACAAGTCGATGAATCCTACCAAGGCTTTTACATAATAAACAGTTGTACAACTTAAATTAATGGTAATTAGGTATGTTGTTGCTTTACACAGCAAACAAACCACGAATATCTAATGAATATAACTGTATATTTTTCTTCGTTTTTTTTCCGTACATGCTTACTTCAAACTTTTTACAAATCTTTCTTTTTTTGGTGCAAGTCATGTTTTAGTTTATCAAAATCATAGTACTTTTAATTCCCATATTTTCTTAAACTTTCTACAAATGGACACAAGCTACAAGTACCTTAATAAGTGTTGTTCGTTCTACAAGCTGGAATGGAGCTGGATCAATGTGACACTGACCAAAATCCACTGGCTTGTTCAGCTGCTCTTCTTCCCAGGAATGTTGCTAGATATGTCAAAGCATTGTAAATATTTTTATCATTAATTACAATATATAATTAACAATGATACAACAATACTATATAGTCCCTTAAATACATACATAAACAAAGACACGCACACTTAAACAAAACAAAAACTTGGGCTAACTCCTCAAGCTACTTATAAAACTAAAATGTTAATACAATCTTCACAAAAGCAACTGAAATACTGAGCACCAAAATTAATATCATGACCTATCTGCTATTTGATTCACCTGCAGATCTTGGAACTGAAATATTGAGTACTGTAATTAATACCATGGCCAGTTCTGGTATTCACTCGATCTGTAGAACTAGGAACTGAAATACTGAGTACTGTAATTAATACCATGGCCAGTTCTGGTATTCACTCGATCTGTAGAACTAGGAACTGAAATATTGAGTACCGTAATTAATACCATGGCCAGTTCTGGTATTCACTTGATCTGTAGAACTAGGAACTGAAATACTGAGTACTGTAATTAATACCATGGCCAGTTCTGGTATTCACTCGATCTGTAGAACTAGGAACTGAAATACTGAGAACTGTAATTAATACCATGGCCAGTTCTGGGATTCACTCGATCTGTAGAACTAGGAACTGAAATACTGAGTACTGTAATTAATACCATGGCCAGTTCTGGTATTCACTTGATCTGTAGAACTAGGAACTGAAATATTGAGTACCGAGTACTGTAATTAATACCTTAGCCAGTTCTGGTATTCACTTGATCTGTAGAACTAGGAACTGAAATACTGAGTACTGTAATTAATACCATGGCCAGTTCTGGTATTCACTTGATCTGTAGAACTAGGAACTGAAATATTGAGTACCGTAATTAATACCTTAGCCAGTTCTGGTATTCACTTGATCTGTAGAACTAGGAACTGAAATATTGAGTACTGTAATTAATACCATGGCCAGTTCTCCTATTTGCTTCATCTTATTTGTGTGAATCTCAAAATGGAAAACAATAAAGAAAAGTAGCAAAGCCACTTGGAAATAACATGCTTTTGTACAAATACTTTTCACCTTATGAAGAGCCCAAAAGTTTGTTATTTGTTAACCCCCCCAACATATGTAATACCATCACATGTAAATAACAAAAACACTTTTGATTGTATTTAAAAGTACCATTTCTAGGGATGATTTGTACATAAATACCTAATCATTCTAATTCAACAGTAATAATAAACAGTTTTCAATAATTCAGTAATATCAGCTGCTGTAAAAGCTGTGCATTAACTGTAAACATGTTGTTAATTGTACAGTAATAATAATAATACACTGTTATCAATAGTTCAGTAATATCAGCTGCTGTAAAAGCTGCACATTAACTGTAAACGTGTTGTTAATTTTGCTACAAACCTTCATATAAAACATTTCTCCAGCTTGTTATAACATTGTCTATTACCTACATGTAAAGACAGTATTTATGTGAATGGCTTTATTTCAGAAAGGGAGAATAAGTTCCTTTTATCCAAACTGTGTCATGATAAAGAAAACCACTTTATGTAACTCATCATATCTGTTGGACTTAACGACACATATATATGGCCAACATAAACTTAATTTACTAAATTATATTACTGGTAGTTCATAAAACAGATAAATAATACAAGTGTTTCTCCATGTACTTCAATACACATTAAATACAGCTTTTTCAAATTAATAAAACAATGAAAATGTTTTTATATGCCTAAAAAAAACAGAAAGCATTATTATATATAAGCTACATCCTTTTAATGACTAAAAGAAACAAAAAAGTCAACAATCACTGTCCAACTTTCATAAGATACTATGTAATACAGTAACATTCAGCTATTACTTTGTTAACGATTTCTCAGACACTGTAAAGTCTTTTTAGCATGAACATTGTTGCTCATACGAAGAAATAAACCTCAAGTTTATTGATTATACATATACATTATCAGTTTTATTTTACTGGTTCACAAAATTTCTGAGATTATTCATATTTTGTTCTTAATTGGTTATGTATAAAATATTACTATAACTATAGTGAAACATCCAGGACATACTAAAGTTTTTGTTTAACTTTTACACTTAAGAAGATTGTTTCACTTTAATAGCTTATTATATGGATTTAGGACTACCACAAATCTCATAAGATATTATTGGGACTGTGGCTGAAAATATCATGAATGGTGAAAGCACCCAACTGATAAATCAGTGCAGTCTAATCATTACAAGTTTCAGATTCCTTATGCACCGATTTATAACATTAAGTGCTTCTAATCACCTTTATAGAACTGGCTTCCCTAATTATTCTATAACTTACTTATTATTTCTAATCAATATAGTTTCTTGCTTTTAATCAGAAGTTCTTATTAACTTAAGTATAAAAAGTCTTGACAAGAGCTTTAATTACTTACACAGAATTCATAAAAAAAAGTTCCTTCTGAAAAAAGCATATAAAGTAATGCAGAAATTCACAAATAAGGGAGACAAAAACTGGCTTACTTATATTTTAAGTGATATAGAAGAGAAAAATTAGTGATACAAACATTATGAAATTCAATATTATAACATAAAAATGGCAAACCTCTTCTTCTGACATATCAATTACACGTTCCTTTGGCTGTGGGAGGACAAAAAAAGAAAGTCCAGTTAGTAAAATAAAAATATTACTTTATAAGCTAAAGTAATAATGTCAAAAACAGAAAATGTAACATTCAAAGTGATATTTCATGCACCACAGTTCTTCACTGCAAAGCATGAACAGTTTTCACTGAAACATCTCTTTGATTGCTTAAACTTAGACATTCAGTTTTACATTTGTTAAGAGCTTTCTTTATATTTACATCCCGTGGAAGATCCCAAAACACAAAGTACAGAATATACTCATGAAGTAACACAGTATTGATAGTATTAGTTTCCATTTCAAGTTGTTTACACTCAATAAAATATAAGAAAAAGAGACAAATATCTGAAAGAATACAATTGAAATGCATCTTCCAATTCCATTTTTAAAATTCATTGAACTCAAGCATTTCAAACCTCAAGTATTTATCAGTCTATGAACCTGCTTAAACCAAAAAAATCTGGACATACCGAAAACAAAGCATCTTAATGGATAATTTTGAGTCACTCATAGGATACACGTAGGAAAAAATGTCTGCATTTAAAAAACTGAATAACATTTTGCAAGAAGAACCCATCTATCTGAGGCTGATCATATGTAGTGTAATTGAAAACCTAAAAGGTTGGTCCTACCTTTCTCTTGAAAAGTTTTTTTGGTTATGTTTTGTGAAAGAAAAAGGAAACCTTTTAACGAGTAGGGTAACACCAACCTTTCAGATTTTAAAATAAGATGGCCTTCTCTATTTTCTGAAAAATGAATATTTTTTAACTAGAAATGTTAATGGCCAATGCTTTAAAAAACACTTTTACAAAATTATAAATCTTTTACTATTTTGAATATATAAAGATTATACACTCTTAATTATGTACATTTCAACAATCTACACAAAACAAAAAGTTAAATTCTGAAAGTGTATTGAATAGATTAAAGTAATTAATATAGGTACAGTTACATACCAACTGGACCCGCTTTTGGATGCTATGAGTACTTGGAGCATTGGCATCTGTCTGTAAAATTAAACAATACATTTATACATTCACTGTTGTATACTGTATCACAGTGGTCCAATAATTTACAAAACATATCCACCCCCACATCTATCAAGGCAAAAGTATAGATTTTTCCAGATCTACATGCACAGCCTAATGATATTTCAACTCGTAACGCTACTTAATAAACACCACTTTCACCTATTATCTGCTTATAAAACGTAATAAAAACTACAGACTATGGTATTACAAAAAAAAATCTTGAAACAAGGACAATGCAACTTCAAGGCAGAGAAGAAAATTTGAATTGGAATCTAAACTATTATTTTAGGTTATGTTTGAAAAATTTACAGGTTTTGTATTATAGTTATTTTTGGGTTGTTTTTTTTTTTATATCACACAATGAGCATGGCTTAATGACTAGAACCTTCTTGAAAGTCTAGAAAATGATTTGAGATATATAAAAAGCAAGTTATTCTAGGATAGAGATTATTGATTTTTAAGTGTGTTACAGCGGATGACTCCTTCAGAATTAGTAAGATCCTATATCCTTCACCTATATCCTGTCACTTGCTGACATCATTTCCATCATATTTAATCCTTGTGTCTTTTGTCTTTGTAATGATATATATATATATATATATATATATACCTTGTATTGCTTAGTACTGATGATACCTGAAGAAGACAGACCAATGTTCTGTCAAAACATGTAGTATGTTTCACCATCAATAAAACTGTTCCTAACATTTACAACTCATTGTTAACCTACCTATTATTATA